TTTTTGGGGTTTTTGGGGGGGGGGGGGGGGGGTTTTTTTTTTTTTTTTGGGGGTGTTTTTTGGGGTTTGGGGGGGGGTTTTTTTTGGGGGGGGGGGTTTGGGGGGGGGGGGGGGGGTGAGAAGCGAAAGAAATCAAGGGAAAGGAAACGTAGAGATGGGTACACAGCAGTAGCAGCAGCAGAGGGAGAAAGACAGAGCAGGGTCTGGGTCCCAGCGTACGAGTCATCCCACGTTTACTGCGTACGTCCTACACAATATTTTACACTCGGGGTTTGGTGGGGTGAGGAACAGGAATGCATCGGCCACCTTATCGATGAGTTCAGTCAACGTCCGCTTTTGTTTGTCCCTATCGTAAGGTATCCCTGTAGCAAGTATTGTCCGTCTGTGCAATCTCCATACTTTCGCTTTCTTTCACCCTTCGGCCTGCCTGCCTGCCTGCCTGCCTGCCTGTCCGTCTGCCCCTCTCCCCGCCTGCTTGCCTATCGGTCTCTGCCTCCCTCTCTTGGTTATCCTTGCACCACGTGCATCTACCTAAACAGAGGAACACACACAATATTTTTTCCCCCTCCCTCGAGTCGCCCGCCCTACCTTGTCGAAGAGCGAGAACATCTCAGCGGACGGCTGGTGCACCGAGGCGACCACCACCCGCCTGTCTCGCCGGGAGGCCAGCTTCCTCGCAAGCAGCATCACCTCCGCTGCCGAAGAGGAATCCAGACCCTGGGTAAAACGCAAACGCCGGGCACGTTAGAGGGAGGGAGGGAGGGAGGGAGGGAGGGAGAAAGAAAGAAGGAGATGGTAGAGACGGAGAATACGGAGAGACGGAGAGAGACGAGGAGACGGCGAGAGAGAGAGAGAGAGAGAGACAAAGAGAGGGGGAGAGAAGGCACAGGTCAATATAACAGCCGCGGCCATGCTTGCAAAGGTAGCCCGAAGTCGATCAGGATTGCAGAAAAACAGCAGCGTGCTTCAGCCGAGGCACAGCAATTAGACAACACCGATGCCAGCAACAGCAGCACAAGTCCAACACGTCCATGACAGCCACCACCTACACAAGCAGCACCACAACAAGCCGCGTGAACGGTGCCATAGGCAGAGACCGACCGCAAACAACCACAGACAACAGCGACGCTGCCGTGAGCAACAGCCAGCAAGCTACTATGTCTACCCACGTATTCACAACAGCAATCATTCTAACGACCGTCATCGGAGCCTAAATAACTCCTCGAGAACGCTACGACAGCCTGCGAACACTCTCCCGAGTGCTGAACCACGAATAAACTAGACAAAGAAAGACAAGGTCACTATTATAATAGTACCTTGACACCAGCCAGCAGGTCTCCTTATAACAGGCTATCTTGTGCGCCTACATGACACGGACGACGAAGGCCTGGACTCGCACCATTTGTTTTCTTAATACGACCAACGAATCATCGCTCGGTTCCGAAGGCACCACCGACCATGAGCCCAAACCCTTTCTCTCTCTCACCGTCGTGGGCTCGTCGAGGAGGAGAAGACGCACGCTCTCCAGGGCCGCCACGCCGATGCCCATCGAGAGACGCCTCGCCTCGCCGCCGCTGATGCCCCTCTCGAGGGGGTTGCCAACCCTAACCTCGGCGCAGGCCCTCAGGCCGAGCACGTCGAGGAGCTCCTCCACACGAGCCCGCCGATCTCTTTCTCTGTGCATGTATGTTTCAAGGCACGGGGGTGAATGTTTCACGGTTACGAAATCCTAGTACAATACACCACAGTCGTGTCGACGCCTTTAGAAAAAAACACGCCGTGTCGATGGGCAGGGGGACCTCCAGGTTCTACTTCTGCTATCCACATCGCGGTAGACCGGAGTTGCCTACCGCACGGGGGTACATGCTATAAAACCAGTTGGATAAAGCAAGCAAGCGCGGTACAAATTTTGTGTACTGCTGTGATTCCGCACAGATAGCGGATTTGCCAAACTTGGAGATGCCAGAACTCCACCCTAACAAAGGGCGCATCCGCGGTAGACCGGAGTTGCCTACCGGACGGGGGTACATGCTATAAAACCAGATGGATAAAGCAAGCAAGCGCGGTACAAATTTTGTGTACTGTGATTCCGCACAGGTAGCGGATTTGCCAAACTTGGAGATGCCAGAACTCCACCCTAACAAAGGGCGCATCCGCGGTAGACCGGAGTTGCCTACCGCACGGGGGTACATGCTATACAACCAGTTGGATAAAGCAAGCAAGCGCGGTACAAATTTTGTGTACTGCTGTGATTCCGCACAGACAGCGGATTTGCCAAACTTGGAGATGCCAGAACTCCACCCTAACAAAGGGCGCCAGGTCTACTGCTGTGCATACAATACGCTTCCAGCAGCACGTGGTAAACGGTGCACCGCTGCATCACAAATGCCCTAGAGTACTATCGCGGGGTTGCAGCACCCAGCGAAAAACGCAGGGTGTCTCCTCGCGCTTGGTTGCAGCGAGCGTGCACTCCTATGATGCACAACAGTGGTTAATGTGAACAGCGACACAGATACTTCCAAGTCTCCGACAAAAGTGGTATTTAGGAAGGCTGCCGCTGCAGAATTTGTTTGACGTGGAAATATAATAGCGCAAATGGATGGATTCGGCTCGAGACAAAAGAACGAGCCGTTGAAGAAATGATGTCTTCGAGTCACGTATTTGCAAGTGCCAATTAGGCCGATTGGGAACCTCTACAAGCGCACCACAAATCAATGGTTCAGATGGCGTGAGGTGTCTGATGACGCCGCAAAGTGGGCTACAGAGCGTCATACGCATACATCCACAGCCATGATCCCGACAGAGACCATACAAATTTCATGCGTACCATATGCTACAACCTTACGTATACAACTACTCTTGAAAAAATTCAGGTCCCCACGCATGCGCCCACCGCAACCATAGGAAACACCACTACAACGCACCTCCCGCCCATAGACAGGCGAACCGCGAAAGCGAGGCTCTCCCGCACGGTCAGCTCAGCCACGTGGAAGTCGTCCTGGGTAACGTACACCGACGGCCGCCCCCGGCCCTTGCCGCCTCTCCTCCACCTGCCTATCCCGCCTCCGCCGCCGCCGCCTCCGCCGCCGCCGGATTGCGTGAGAAGTATCTGGCCCGCGCACTCCCCCTCCTTCTTCTTCCCTGCCAGGAGGTCTAGGAAGGTAGACTTGCCCGCACCAGATGCTCCCTATCGATGGACGAGGCGCGCGGACATGCGCAGCAACAGCGTCAAGTATGTACGACGAAGTATTGCGTAAGTGTATATGCATGCTTCATTTCGAAAATTCGAAAAAAAATAGGTACCCGGGGCGCAATAATTTTTCGGGTCCAATAGAGGGCCAAAAGGAACTTCAAGCTAGAGAGAGGCAACAGCGGCGACAGAGAGGAAAGGGGCAATGCAGAAACAACAAGGAGAGGCCCGCATCTCTAGTGACCGCAGACGCGGGGGCGCCAAAAAACGTGCGCTTGGGAACATAAGGAAAGAACGGGGAACGTATATAAAATTATCCCAAGAACTGACGATTCAAGATAAGTGTTGAAGCGCTACACCGACCCCAACGGCAATGAATCATCTCGTACAGCAGGATCCGCTACGCGCCCCCGGTACGTTGCTATGATAGGGGGAAACCGCCTGCTGCACCGCGGCCATCATGCACGCGGCTTGCCGCCGCCCTAACCGACACTATCACGGCAGAGCGCAACGCGTTGCGAAATACTCACGATGACGGCCACCATGTCCCCGGCGCAGAAGCGGCAGTTCACGCCCTGGGTCAGCACCCGTTTCTTCTTCTCTCGAAGAACGCTGGGCGCAGCAGACTCGACGCGAGTCGCCGCGGGCGGAGAGGCTCGCGCCACGGCCCCCTTGTCCTTCCGGAAGATCTTCAGCAAGGCGCCGCCGCGGAAGGAGTACCCCGTCTGACGCCTCTTGCCGGGAGGCAGGGCAGGGGCAACCGGAGCCGGGGGAGGAGCGGCGGCGGCGGCGGTAGGAGGAAGCTCGATAGCGTAGTAGAGGTCCTTCACCTCGCAAATCACCTCCCCCTCCTGCTGCTGCTGCTCCGCCAACCTGTCGTACGACGGCTCCTCGCCGCCGTCCTGCTGCTGAGCGGGGGTAGGCGAAGCCGCCGGCTGCTTGCCCTGCTCCGCTGCTGCTGCCCGTCGTTGGGGCAGCGGCGCGGCCGACGACGTCCACCTCGAAGGTGAGCGGGGAGGCGCACCACCTCCCGCAGGCGCACCGGTCTTCGAATTGTTGGGAGCCATCGCGGTGCGCAATCCGGCGGGTGCTCTTAGAGCGCTGCTGCTGCTGCTGCTAGCACCTGCGCCAGGAGCGGCAAGACTGCCGCTGCTGCCCAGCTGGTGAGCTGCGGTGAGGGCGGGAGACGAGGACCTGGACACAGAGGACCGGGACGCCTCGTCTTCGCTGCTGTACACCCCGAACAGAGACGCAGAGGCCTCGGCCAGGATGTCAAAGGCGCGTAACTGCCGTTGGTGAGCCTCCTCTTCCTCAGTCAACGCCGCTGCCGCTCCTCCTCCTCCTCCTGCTGCTGCGCTGCTGGCGCTGCTGGGCTGTCGGCTGCTGCTGTTATTAGAACCTTGTGTGCTATGCATGTCTCTCCGGCTCATGTGTCCATGCTCTTCGGGTCCGGCTTTGCTTTCACACGTGCGACGATCGTGCGTGGAATGACGCATGACGCTCGAAAAAAATCATGCACCCACGACTCTGTACTGGGGGCGACGGCGAATCAATTCACCACCCCCTGCATCTTGCAGCGCGCTATTGGTTGCCTCTCCAGGCTCTGCAGCTGACAGCTCTCCCTGCAAAGGCCACACAAGTCGACACAGCATCATGACTCTGGGATTGGCGGTAAGTACGAGAGTCGTAGCCGCGGCGGCTGTGCCCGCGCTTTTCCTGTCGGCGTCGCAATGCAGCACGGCGTTCGTTCTGCGATCGTCTCTGGGCAGCAGCAGCGACAGGACTGCTGCAACAAAAATGCGGTCGGCAACAACCTCGACGCTGTTTAGAGGAGCCCAGCGAACGAGAGGCACGCCGCTGCTCTCGCCCGGTGCCCTAAGGACGAGCGGGTACCGAGAAAGAGGAGTGCACCTGATGATGGCGGCGGAGCCCTCGGAGGATTCGGTAGCAGAGGCTGCTGCTGCTGCTGCTGCCGCCGCCGAGGAGCCGTCCATTTCCGAGGGAGAGGAGGCGGTTGAGGACGAGGCGTCGGGGGGTGGAGACGTAGAGACGGAGGTGGTGGCGGAGGAGGGAGAGGGGAAAGAAGGGGAGAAGAAGGACGAGGAAGAGGAGGAGGAGGTTGACCCCATGGCAGAAGTCAAGCAGCAAATCAAGGTGCGTGAGTACTGAGGTACTTCATGTGAACATGCTACGTGTCACCTTGGGTACACCGCACACAACGGCGTACATGTACAGCAGCGGTATGCACTCGATCCGTGGCGATCACACCACAGCGCAACAGCATAGCGGGCGGGTGTTGGCTGCCACGAGTTCGTGTGAAAGTTTTGCCTGGAATGTAACGTACTCCATGATGCTGCTGGTGAAGCAGGGCCGTGCGGCGAAAGTTGCGAAGAGGTTGATGTTGTCAATCTTTTCTAGAAACGAGCGCCAAAAGATTTCATGCGAGACATTCCCAAGCCTGTTGGTGCTGCTCACAGAACTCCGTCGTGTGTTGGTGCTACGTACATTACCATTATGGTGTGGGGGGTGGAGGGGGGGTGTACTCTTATGTTTTGCATGCCTTAGCGGTTAGACCATTGACCACGCGTCCTCGAGAGGACGGAGCATTGTTCCCACAAGACAATCGTCCCTTCCTACTTGCCGAAGGTGGCTCAATAATGGTTCCTAGTTTCTATCCTATCGATTATCACTTCCGGCCTTTTCAACCTACACGTAGAAGCTCAGTGCACTTCCCTCGCCTTCTTGTACAAACGATATTCCGCAACTACATGAACCCGGTCTTCGCACTCGGAGCCGCGTTCACATTTGAACTTGTCGTCTTCATCGGTTTCCTTTCGAATCTTCGTCTTCTTTCTCGATGGCCAATGTCCCCGGTCAAGAAAATGACCCTCAGCTTTGCCCCTGCATCCAAATGGTCCATGAAGGTTTTTCCTTTAACCCTTCTTATGTCAACATTCGTACACATCTAGACCCTCTTAATCCTCGGTTTCTTTGGTTAGATTGTGTTCTTCTCACTCGACAATAGCAACAGATATCTTTTCCTTGCACCGCTCTAGGCCTTCCCAGCGTTTCAACTCGCCAATTTCGAGCTCCTTCCATATATGTATGCTGGGGTATCAGCCAGGGTCACGCAGGAGGAAGGTGATACTCTTTGTTGGGTCACAGTCAGTGCCCCCCTTTTGTCATCTGGTGCTTGCCTTGGTTTTCGTCGCGAGAAGGATTCAGCCGTGCCTTTCCCTCGTCGACCATGAAATCGAACTTGTGCTGATGTATTGACACATTTCCACCTCAAGGTGCAGAGCTCTTTTCTTCATCTCAGAGAGAGAGTCAAGCTCCAACGTGCTACAAGCAGGTGCACGAGCTCAAACGTCCAAACGCTAGACCATGCTCCGGGTTGACTTCGACTCAAAGCCAAACTACTGCGCCTATGCTAATCACACCGCACGAAGACATGATCCTTTCTAGACGGGTCACTTGACTGGTCTGGTCTATTATATGACTCCAGAATGTTAAGCAATATCTAAAGCGTCTCTCAACTCGTACCTAACAGGATCTCGAGAAGGAGCTGATGAAGGAGGAGAACCGCCTCAGGGACGTCCAAGACTCGGTGCAGGAGAAGGGGCAGATGGGGTTCCTGAGAATGGCGGCCCAGGTGGACAACTTCCGCAAGTCGAGCGGGGCGGGGACGGGAGATTACGAGGCGGACGCGAAGGCCGCCGTGCTGAGGGCGATGCTGCCGGCGTTCGAGCCGTTTGAGGCCGCTGAGGAGGTGGGCTTGTTGTTGTTGTGGTTTGTTGCGGTGTTGGTGGTGGTAGGGCCATTGGCCGTTTGAGGCCGCTGAGGAGGTGGGCTTGTTGTTGTTGTGGTTTGTTGCGGTGTTGGTGGTGGTAGGGCCATTGGCCGTTTGAGGCCGCTGAGGAGGTGGGCGTGTTGTTGTGGTTTGTGGTGTGTTGGTGGTGGTAGTGGCATGGGCCGTTTGAGGCTGCTGAGGAGGAGAGTTGTTGTTGTTGTGGATGGTGAGTCTTTTTTAGTGTGGCGGATGCAGACTAGTTTAACCTCGCACGCACTTCGATTCTCCAGATAATTGGCTGGTGGTGTGATGGTTTTCTGGAAAGCATTGGATCTAGTCGCACACCCGCTCCTGCTTCACCTGGAGTCTTAAACGGAGTATGGTTGAGCGTGAGAATGCACGGGCACGATTACACAAGCGGTCATGTCGCTTGATCTAGCAAAGCCCGTGGGTGGTGCTGCGAACGATGCCGATATATTTTGAGCCTTTTGGGGGATCACAAAAGAGCTGTGTGTGTTACCACGTGCCGTCGGTTAATGGTGTTCATGGGTGGTTGGTGCTTTCGTCGTAGAAAGAACACGCCAGCAGCGAGCGGCGTTTCCTGGCGGCTTCTGTGCTGCTGGTGAAGGGATTGTCTTTCGGGCCGCATGGCGGTGGTGGCGGTGGTGGTGGTTGTCGTCGTCAAGGCGGAGAAACCACAGCCCGCCTTGCGGGAATCCCCATCGCTGGTGCTGATGGCATCGACGACTGTGCACCTACCACTCGTGGTCGCCTGGTCACGATAAAAACCATGGGTGTTTTTTTCTGGCTCAAGTTCTCACGCTCGCTTTGTGTGCATCGCGTTGCGCTGTTAGCCTACCGTGGCTCAAGTCCTCAAAGTTCACTGCATGCCTAGCGTATCGCCCTTAGCCGACCGGCCCTTTCTCCCAAGTCCTCAACGGTTCACGGTGCATGCATACTTGTAGCGTTCCGCTCTTAGCCGAAACAGCCTTTCTCCACGTCCAAGTCTTGAACGTTCCACTGCTGTGCGTACATCGCGTTGTGCTCTTAGCCGACCGAACCTTTCCCCTTCCTCTCCCGGTGCCATGGGTGCTGTGCGTGCGCGTGGGTGGGTGTCTCGCGCGGGCTCTTTTTTTTTTGTGTGTGTGTGGGCAGGCGCTAAACCTCGCGACGGAGACCGAGGTGAAGTACAACAAGAGCTACCAGGCGTTGTACCGGCAACTCAAGGACGTCTTCACCAAGATCGGCGCGACCGACTTCTTCGGCGTGGTGGGGGAGAAGTTCGTCTACACGCGACACGAAAAGGTGCATTTGATCTACAGCACACGAGGGACACAATCCAATCCATTTTAAGCCACAACTCGACCCAAGAAGTCCGTCCGTCCGGTAACAGCCAACGCTTTTTATTTTGCGGATTGTTGCAAGTTTCCTGTGGAATGTTCCTACGCGTGACTCGAGTCGTTCTACAGACTGCTGCAGCTAGACTGTACAGTTCAGTGGCTATCCCCCCGCATGTCCACCCAGAATCTGTTTTGCCACCAGCCTCTCCCGCTAGTCACCATCTTGTGTGCGCAAAATACAGCAGTGGTCCCGATATAGTGGCGTCCTCAATAGTGGCATCAAAATCTCTTGTTACAATCTCAGAATGTACGTAATAACCCGATACATCGAATAGTGGCACTGCCCTGAATAATGGCACACCATTGTGATATTTTACTCTTTGCCGCTACATGCCAATCTACATCGGGACCACTTCAGTATGAGCACATTAGAGCACCCACCGCCAGCAACTGACGGTTTCACCCCTTGCGCCGCCTCTCTCTTGGTACTATAATCAATACTGATATTCAGGCGTCAGAGGAGCACAACCCCGTGATGAAGGAGGGGTTGATCATCAAGTGCGTCTCGCCGGGGCTCGAGCTCAAGAAGAACGTCATCCGGAAAGCGGTGTGCGTCGTCTCCCTGGGGCCCGAAAAGGAGGAGCCCGAGGAGGAGACGGCTCCGGCAGCGGCGGCGGCGGTGGCGGCAGAGGGGGAGGCGGCGGCCGAGGCCGAAGAGCCCCCCCCGATGCGCGACGCCGGCGTCGACGCTGCCGCCCCCGAGGGGGAGCAGCCGGAGGGAGAGCAGGCGGCCGCATGAGCATAGTAGGGATATTGTGGTCGCGATTTCGTTGGTATGACCGTGTGCGGCATTTCGCGTGTCTAGAGTGGATGGAGGTCGGCGATTTCGTTCGCTATGATCCTGTACGGGGTTTCACGTGGTTAGAGTGGAGGTCCGGGGGGGGCGGGGGGGTAGACACGCGCGTGGGAAGAGGATGAGGTCGGTCAACTTCTGTGATTTAGTAGCCATATCTGTTTTCACTTTGGGGGCCCTCTGCCTGGTGCGTGCCACGAAGGAGCGGCGCGGGGGGTACACGGCAGTTTTTTTTTTTCAATCGTTTCGTTTTTACTTTCGTGGCCTGTGTTTTCATACGCGGCATGCAGAGAGAGTTCTACGACCCGAAACTGCTCTGTGTCCATCCGATAGCCTTTTTTGATTTTTGCAAGCATGTGTGCAGGCACACGGTCCTTGCAGCTTGTGGTTCCCGTGGCTGACATTACACGGGAAAAATACATCCGCTAGAGTGTTTTTCCCTCTGGATCCTCGCGGGCCGGGCCGCCGTAGGACAAACCTCTATCTAATGTCAGGATTATGTTGCGGAACGGCGCTTGCGCTTCCCTACTTTGTCCCGCCGGTGGTACGACCGGTACACCCCCATGCAAACCGTTGCTGTCATATCCGTTGTTGCGCTTTGAGCGCGTAAGACCAACTCTGAAGGGTGAGGCTGCCCGCGACAATACGGTCTCGCTTTGAACTGCTTCTTCCCTCTCTCTCTCGCTCTATCTTCTTCTTCTTCTCTGCGAGAGACACGAAACTCCTCACAAAAGCAACCCCACGCCGCAATCCCCACGCACAGCTGTGGCTGGGGGGCAAGCAGGAGTTTTGGGGTCGCCCTCCCCCCCCCGCCTCGATGCTTGAGCACCCTCCCTCCCCCGCCGACGCCGCGCGGCAACGAAAGCTTACCTAAGATAGCTCACCAATCCGCCACAAATCATCCAGGAAAATGATCAAAAGCACGAAAGGGGACGATGGTGTTGTGGGCTACAACAGAGCAGCTACACGCATCCACACGCGAATCGGCACACACCATGGGTTGCAGTGAAGGTGTCTTAATTAGAGAGCGAAGCATCTTTCCTGTCTGAAACCGCAGCATCCATACATGATACACAAGAGAAAGCAGAGCACATAGCGCCGCAAGCTCCACTCGCGTATGTACATGCATCCACGCTTGATAGACGGGACATGTAGAACCACGCCCCACGATCCGCAAAAAGTTTCAAGCTTGGCCGGTAGCCTGAACTGGAGCAAAACATTGTTGGCGATATTTTTCTTTTTTTCACCGAAATGCTGCAATCCGCTGGCCGCACACTCTAATACCCGCCAAAAATGCGTACGGCCACCGCAAAGATTGAGCCGCAGCCATTGTTCTCCCTGACGACAAAATACCCCACGTCCAAATATCTCTGCGGCCCAAGCAGCAGCAGACCAGGCGTCGGGGGGCTTTCGAAACCGAATACGTTAACCCATGCCGTCACGTGTAGTGTGTCTTGTGTGCAGTCCACCTGCTCTCACAAGGACGGCGGTGTGTTGCGGGTGCTGGTCACACTACGGCTCGGCCATCTGCTCCGGGGTTTTCCCGAAGCGTCTTCTTCGCCGACCGTAATCCCTGCTCGTTTGTTCACAGAACACGAATACGGAACAGAGGAGAGGGGGGCGGTGGATAAACAACGCGGAAAACTATTGTCAGGTGGTCGTCGTAAGCGACATCACGGTTAGGGCCTCCGAAAAAACATCTTGGGGGAAAAGTCGTACTCGACCGCTTCCATACCGTAATATATCACCTTAGAGCGCAGTCTTATTTAAACACATGTAAACGCCCCGCACCGTCCCCACTCGGCGACACCGGATCACAGCGTCCCGTCCCGACTTTTGACAGGATGCAAGGGCATATCCCGTGTGAAGACATGAGCAAGTGCGACCACGACGCCCCCGTCCGGTCCTGTGGGAAAAATGCTCCGTCCGCTGATGGACGCGCGGCCAATGCCCTAACAACTAAGGCCTGCACAACACGAGTACCCCCCCCCGCAGCCGTCAGGGCAGAATTGAGGATCCAATCCCTACGGGTCGGGAAGAGACGCAAGGAAGCTGACATGGCAGTATCGCATGTGCGGGATGGGAGAGGAGAGGTTGCCGAGAATAGTATGGGAGGCGAAGTGGGCAAACAAAAAGAGGGGTAGGCAACCCACGGAATGGGTCAAGGTTGTAGAGGACGTATGGAAGGGGTTAGACATCGACGAAGATGAAACGCTGGAAACGGAGGGTCTACAGGGGTTCAAGGAGAAGATATCTGTTGCTTGTGCCGAGAGAGAAAAACAGAATCTAAGGAAAGAAACCAAGGATTTGGAGGGTCTAGAAGTGTACGGAATGTTGAAAGAAGGAATAGGGTTCAAGGATTACCTACATGGACCAATGGATGCAGGGACAAAGCTTAAGGTCAAATTCAGGACCGGGGACATAGGCCTTCGCGAACGTCGACGAAGACATAGGACGGTAGACGACGAAGACGACAAGTTCAAATGTGATTGAGGCTTCGAATGCGAAGACCGTGTTGATGTAGTCGCGGAATGTCCGTGGTACGAAGAGGAGAGGGAAGTGTACATGACTGAGCTGGGAAAAATACAAGGGACGTACAGGGAGATGTTTGAGGCATGGCATAGAGAGGAGAGGACGGTGCCTGTACTGGGGAGTAGGAAGTGGTTTGAAAAGGCGGGAAGGGATATCGTTAGGATAGACAGGCAAGGGAAGACATTTTTGAGCCACCTTTGGCAAAGTAGGAAGGAACGATTGGCCATCGGTGATCGGTACTGTGGGAACAATGATCCGTCCTCTCGAGGACGCGTGGTCAATGGTCTAACCGCTAAGGCATGCAAAACATAAGAGTACGCCCCCCCCCCCCCCCCCCTCACCCCCTCACCTAAACGCCTCCACGAGGTCGGGCCGCCGGAAGTCCGGCCAGGCCTTCCCCACGACGCACAGCTCCGAGTACGCCGACTGCCACACCAGCAGGTTGGACAGGCGGCTCTCGCCTGAGGTCCTCACGACCAGGTCGGGGTCCGGGATGCCTAGCCGGGCCGTGCTGAGCCGCCGGGCGAGTGCCGGCTCGTCGATGTCGGCCGGGTCCAGGCGGCCGGCGGCGGCCTCGGCGGCCAGTTCCCGCGCCGCCGCCACGAGCTCGGACCTCCCGCCGTACGAGATGGCCAGGCAGAGCGTCATCGTCGGGGTTGGCGGTGCGGCGACGGGTTGTGGCAGCGGTGGTGCGATGCCACCGCCGCCGCTATTTCGGCTGCTACTACTGCTAGCGCCGGAAACCCCGCCTGCCGCCTCCGCCGCCACCGGAATCGCCACAGAGGGCGGGGCGCCTGGGGCGCTAGAAGCAGCAGCAACCCCATCTACAGCTGCGCTACCGCTGCTGCTGCTGCTGCTGTCCTCCTGAATCTCTAGGAGGAGGGAGCGGAGCCGCGCCGGCAGGCGGTCGAGCTCTCCGATGGCCGTGAGCCGGATCCCGTTCCGGCGAAGGCTGTCACGCTGCTCCAGCAGAGTCTCCTCCATCAGCTGCGGCCGTCGAAATGAATGATGATGGATACGGCATACACGTATTGGGGGGGTGAGGGCCAAGATCGCGATGTTCTGCGCAGACACCCTTAAACAATGATGGGGCGTGAGCCAAGATCGATGTTGTCGGTGAAGAAAGAAGTAGAAACGGATTCATCGTGTCAAGTCCCACACAGGAATGCTTCCCACAAACCTATGAGAGCCGGCGACGGGAGGGGGGTTATCCACGCCCCCATCACGACCTCGGGTATTCACGAGGCCTAGCCAACCCCACATACTCTCGAACTCTCATCCCCGGAGGAGAGGGGGGGTAGGGCTGGCGAGGAAGGCTTATTCAAATCCCTGTGAAGTGTCGCCGATTAAAACATGTAACCCGTAGAACATACTCACATCCATGATGAAAGAAACTTCCCCCGTCGGCCGCCTCCAGTTCTCCGTCGAAAACGCGTACAGGGTCACGAACTGGCAAACCACGAAACAACGAACAACAACATCAATGGAACAATGAACAGGGAGGGGGAGGAGGGAGGGGGAGGAGGAGAAGGAGGGTCGGAAAGGGAAGGAGCGCAGAGAGGCAGCTAGACACCAGCAGGCACAAAGAAACTGGGGTGTAATCGTGTCGGGCCGGCCCGTGTGATGTAGAGAAGAGGTCATCAAGTTTTTCATGCCCCCCCCCCCCCCCAGCCTTTGGGCTGGGCAACAACCCATTTATGATAAACAGTTGAGCCGATGATCGGGAAGCCCCTATTGCACATTCCTAGTTTGATCCCTACCGCGAGCCTCCCATTGTGTTCGGAGCAGCCGGCATTCGGACCCCTGCCGTGGAACCACATACATAGCTCCGATAGGACTTGAGGCAAGGCGGGAAGGCTGTATCGGGTTTCGTGCAAAGGTGCTCTCCCATATTGACCTCGCGGCTGACACACATCGTCTTCTCTGCTGATCGCTGTGCATCCAGGTGGGTAATTCTGCACGTGTTGTATCCTTCGCCCTCCTCCAGTAAGATGTCCACACCACTTCTCCACACGGAGATGCCAACTGCTACTTGCTGCCGCTGCTGCCCTTCATGACGGATGCTCTACAACGTGATTGCGACATGGTGTCAACAAGAAATCTCGGCAAACCGCTCTGAGGAACAACAGGGAAGTCGACCGACCAACCAGCCAACCAACCATCCATCCATATATCGTCTTTTCGTGCTTTACTGAAGTTTGCCTACGCCAAACATAACATGAAACAAGCTAAGCAAGAAACAAACGGACCGTTACGCCCTACTTACCATGCACCCTGTGTACCAACCTTATCTCATGCATCAATGACACGTAAACTCCAAAAGATCAACTGCCATTTTGCAGATTCAAAAACGGTGGGAAACAACTGTCCGTAAAATTCAAATTTTAGATTTGAAAAACGAGTAGTCTCTCCCATGACTTGTTCTGTGTGTGTATCTTTGTTCTCTGTGTGTGTATTTTTCCTAATAAAAGTCCTAAAATCGTACGGAATACCTAACAGACTAGCAAGTTGTCACAAAGACTCTGCGCCGTATTCCCTGTGAAGGTTACATTTTACAACACACGAAATAACGGAGTGGTTCTCCCCGATATTTCTGTCGTTGGCCCAGTAGAGAACTACAGGGGATGCATCGCAAAATGTAGGCTACCTCTACTGATGGTTTTGTACTTAGCACCAGCTGGTTTCACTGATATAATTCATCAGTGTATAGAGTTAAATAGACTCGAAATAAGTCCAGTACCTAGCCGGTTTTCCTCCACTCACTGAAAAGACTCCACCACATCCCGTTCGAATGTGGGTGTATCTCGAACGGGTAGTCTTTCTGTGTGTGTATCTATTTTTCCTAACAAACCGAAGAGGAAATAAAATTGGGCGAGAAGTTTGGGAGATTTTGACGCAAAGTGGCCAACAAATCCTGAAACATGCCCGACAAAAAAGTAGTAGAGGATGCCTCGCGACTTGGGTGGCAAAACCCAACACTCAAGCGTAAAGTGATCGGTGGAGTTTCGGGTCCACCCCATGGGATGATTCGGCTCTCGACATCGCACGAAGAACTTGTGTCAACAGCATTCCGGCTTGTCTCATCCCGCGAAATACACGGAACACACATGGGTCTCCAAGCATACAACAAAAACCAGCAGAGCACTACCGGTGTTCCTCCCGCACCTCAACCCCGAGGCGTCGACAGGCCTCAACCGCCTCCCCTGCTCGGCGGGCTCCCTCCGCATGCCCAATCCTCCGCGGCAAATTTCTGTTAGCTGCCCTGTTTGTTTGTTTTTTGGGGGGGGCGGGTTGCGGCTTCTGGGGTCAGACGGACCGGTATTGTCAAATGTTTGACTGCCGTCCACGCGGACGTGCGCTTGACACACGACAGCAGGCGTCTCATCGAAAAATATTGCGCTCGCCACGGTAGCTTGTCCGTGATGTCATCCTCGGTACACCTCACGGGGGTGGCATACATACAACACATGTACATCGCTTGTTTTCACGAGGACCAAAAAGTCAGGACACGGCCGGTGAAATAGAGCTACTGCTAGGCATAGCCCGAATATTCTTTTCGGGGTATGTATAAGTACAAAGGGGCCCGGCGTGTGGCAGCGAGGTGGCCTTGCCTACCGCAGCACCTTCATCATGGCTCGGCTGTTGGCGGTCAGCCAATCGACTTACGTTTAAACATATGGTTCGCATGGTCAGGCAACCGCCACTGTTGACCACTATCGGCATGCGCTCCACGGAAAGATGGAGAGGATTGCACGGGTTCAAATACGGCGCGACTTTCTGTGAGAAAACTCTTGTATCTGTACGTGCTACTTATTTGCCCATCTTTGTAAAATACTCCGCCGCCCCGGTTCCCCCCCCTTTTTCTCTTTGTACTCTCACCATCGCCCGTTGCCGTCCATGACGAATGCCACGTGCCGCGGCACCACACGAAGCCCCTCCGCTTCCCTCTCCTCCTCTTCACCTTCCAGCTTTGCTGCTGCTGCTGCTGCTGCCGCCGCCGCCCCCACCGCCGCCACCGGCCTCGGCCTCTCCCCCCCTCCCTTCGATCCTCGAGCGTCGGACTCGTCACCCTTGGCCTGACGCCCGTTTTTTCGCCTCCTTCCGTTCGCGAAGAAATGTTCCGTCGCCGCCATGCCTCGGGAGAGGACCCCGCGATCTCTTGAGTAGGTGAGGATCGGAGGCGTGTGTTGTTAACCGGGGAGTGGGGGGGAGGGAGGGGGGGAGGGTGCAGAGCAAGACATAATAGCACAGGGATCAGGATGTTCGGTTGCGGCCTCAACAGCATAACATGTAAAACATGAACATTTGAATCCTAGTTTAGTCCTTCGTGAGGTGATTGCAAGGCGTACAGTATGTCATTCACCATTGGGCAGGCATGTGCAGCTGTTCGGACCTGCGTGCAATGCGCACATGATCGAAAGCTTCGCCACCTCCCCCCCCCCCCCGTCCCATGCATGCGATGAAAGTTGCGCCCCGTGACCAAATTAATCCCCCCACCTCGACAGACAGAAGGTACCACGCAGCAAGAGGCTGCGCAGATGGGAAACGCACATGAACCCTCCGACCTTCTTGGCCAACTTTGAGGAATCCTTATCCTTGAGCTCTTAACAGCGGGCAGCGCTGCTGTCTGCTGGCCCACACATCCCACCTTTGATCTGTCCGTTTCCCTTCTCCACGCGCTCCTCCAGGACCAACGCCGTTGTTCCTCCTGCTTCCCCTTCCCCCGCTAACACTACCGCTGCTGCTGCTGCTGCTGCTGCTGCCACCGCAAGTCCCACTGGCTCGCGCGTCCCCAGCAACAGCAGCCGCTCCCTCCCCCTCCCGCGTTTCGGTGCTCCCGCTAACGGCGGAGACCATCGCCGACATCGAACCCTCGCCGCAGCTATGTCTCCAGCTTCTTCGAATAGCACCGCCAACGCCGCCGCCGGCGTCGTGGTTGCTGGTGGTGGTGGCACCGCCGCTGGTTGTGGTGCTACTACGGACGGCCGGTCGTGATCTCGCCGCCAACAGCAAGCTCTCGCGTCGTCCGAAAGCACCGCTGGGCGTAGACCACCATGGGCCGCTCCCAGCGAAAGGGCTTGACGACAGCGAGGGGTGACATCGGTGGTAGTGGCCGGACGCGGTGGTTGCAGAGTCGGTGGAGCGGGACGGAGGATGCCGGGCTGCCGGACGCCTGCTGCTGCTGCTGCTGCTGCTGCTGCTGCTGCTGCTGCAGAGAGGAGTCGAGGTTGATGTTGGGGTCAAAAAGCAGGCAGGCTGCCGGTGTGCATCACCCACGCTGCTGCTCGTCGTTGCTACCAACACTGCAAGAAGAACCAAGGTGCAACATAGATTCGTCGCCGTATGACCCCTCCCTTCCGCCATGGACCACAACTTCACGGCAGCGCTGCTGAGCTGGAACGCTGGCTGAGCTTGCCAGCACCGAGTGCGAGAAGCTTGTGAGAAGCACCGCCGGGGGTGGCGCGATCTGGATAGTGTGGGGGTACCGATTATCGTCTGCGAAGCTCAGCTCTCTCCGCTCGCCGCTCGAGAGGCAGGAGCGGCGGAGCGGCATGCATCTCGGCCTCGCACATAGCAGATAGTCGCGTCGCTCTGGGGTGCTTCACGTCCAGTCCAGCATTCTTGTGCTGCTTGCAGGGTAGAAATTGTGACAGGCCGGAAGTACATTGCTGCGAAGAGCAAGGTGTGAGGAGGACGTGGAACCTGCTGCTGCTGCTGACGAGAAACGAAAACACACCGCAGCGAGGGACGAAGCCACGCAACACCAATGGCAGAGCCAGATGTGAGGAACGACGGTAACAAAGCGCCTATTCTTGAGTAGAGCCATGCAGGACAGTGCACTCAGGGGGTAGAGCGTGCTTGAGTGTATGCAGCGCGCTTAGCTCCTCTAATTGTGAGCAGCAGCAGCGGTGGGCCCGCTGATGTTGTTGATGTCATGCTGAGAGCAATCAGGGATGTTCTTTGGACAGGACTCACTGCATGAAACTCACTAAGAATCACGGTGGCACGGCGGTGTGTGTGTTTATCTGCTGCGCCTCCGAATTTCTCGGAAAAGAATGGAACGATCGAGCTCGAGCGTAGCAATTCGCTACGAAGCAGTGGCACGCACGTAAGTGCTCCGTCTCCAAATACGTTGCTCAGTGCAGAAAAATGGTTCTTGGACTTCGGACGGAGATGATGGTGTTAAGAGTCGCGTGGCCCCGCCCACCCCGGTCGTTTTCCATCGCCCATCTGTCGGCATTCATTTTCCAACAAGCGCTCAGGCAAGGCGTTTTTTCAAAACGAACGTCTACTTTTCTACCGGCGGGGGAGCCCGCGTGCTCTATCGTTTATGCGCTCTCTCTTGCGGTTGGTCCCATCGTAAAATTATCGTTTGGAAAACACCTGCAGCTCCTGTCCGGTGTCATGCTCTACATAGAGGAGATCTCACCCCGCCTGGACTGGTCTTCAGTTTTCGAATCTCGATTACTCCGCAGCAGAAAAAAAAAAAAAAAAGAGTGGCGGTGCCGAAAATATCAGGCGTCGTTGGAACCGTCTCGTCGGGAGCGTCCGAAAACACCTCGTTTGACATTCGTGTCGTCTTGGTCATGGAGTATCCCACTGCCTGCTGTTCTTGTGAAAGAAACATGGAAATATATATCACGAAATTGCAGCCAATCAGAAGAAACCGTTCGTCTAAATAGTGAAGCTCCTGGGCACCGCGACGATCACATTTACCGTTTCTGTCTTTGATCCAGAGGATAGTGTAGCCTCCCCCCATGCTACCCCCTCACGGGGTCCCAGTTCATGGCAGATAGAAGTGTTCTGTATTTCAACAGCACTAAGGCTGACGACTTTTCATTGGTCAGCCGGTTAGCGCGGTCGATGCTAATAATAAAAACATACACACACGTGTAGCATAATCTGTTTACATCGCTCTCGTCGTCATCGCCGTCTCTCTCCCCTGATAATGGCAGCAGGCGGCGGCCCTCCGGAAGGAGCTGGCCATGGTCAAAGACAAGGCGAAGACGTACATCTCCAAGCTGAACGAGGTGAATAATGATGATGAATGTCGCGAAGGCTCGGGCCATCCCAGGCTTCGGGCGCTCCTGTTGCTGCGTAGAAACGACTTCGCTGCGCTTGCGATACCCGTTCCCGGATCGGCGGCTATATCGTTCAACTCGCAGAACCTCTTCATTCACTGCTTGATTATTATTCCCGTCGTTTTTACTATAGATCCCGGGACAGATTGTAAGTGGGTGTTACCCATCGGTCACCGTTTTCAGGAGTTACATCCCTGCGGCGTAGACAACGAGCTGCCTCCCGATAAGCTAGCTCGCTATAGCCATCGTGGTTGGGTCGAAGGACAGGGTCACGAGGAAGAATAAATGAGTGAATTGCCAGCGGTTTCTGCACGATATATCGCCTTGGTTCCCGCCCTCACGAGGCCCGGGGTTGCTGCATCGTGATTGATCATGTTTTCGTTGCGAGCACTGCTGACCTGCACAATGTTTGGTGGCGGTGTGTTGAACTTGTTTTGCCAGGAGAAAGCGGCGCTTGCGAAGGAGCTGCAAGACAAGTCCAACGTCCTGGCCGGGGTGAAGGATAAGACCAAGGCGTACGTGGAGAAGCTCAACAAGGACAAGACGGCGGCGTTGGCGGTCCTCGAAGACCAGGTCCGTCTGTATGCAGAGAAACAGACTGGTGCCATTTTTTTTATTTGTTTGGGCTTCTGTATTTTCTTCTAGTGCCGTGTCGTCCCGCGGGACCAGACTTGATTAGGGATAGTTGGTTCCCATATGATGGAACGCGCGTGCGTTCGCAGCGGTATGCTACCCTGGTTCTTTGGTGTCGACTGGTCACCCCCCTCACGTTGGTTCGAAGACGACGACCCGTTGTTGAGGAATTGCTTCTCCCGGGGCTAACAATAAACACAAAAGCTTCTGTCGCCCCTAGAACTCCGCCTGTCCCGTTGAACACCCCGACCACCACTTGAGACCGATGTTGCGGGACTCGACCCGCTTACTCTTTAAGATGGTTGTTGGATTCATGCACACGCTGTCCCTCTTTTGTTTTGATTTCCCCTCACTGCCGATGAGACGGGCATTGGGCTCCGGTCCTCGCGCGGTCCGGCCGAACGCTTGTGTGGCAGTCTTGAAAGGGGACGCGTCTTTGTACCCTTGGATGGGGGCTTACCTCTGGTTTCTGGTACATGTCTCGGCGTCATTATTGTCGACCGCGTGGTCCCTTCTTTTCGTTCTTGTGGCTGTGTTTTGTTGGAATACTGTAGGTGAAGGACAGAGACGGGCGGTTGCTGCGGGCGAAGGAGCTGCTGCAGGCCAAGCTGGCGGCCAAAGACGAGGAGCTCCAAGCGGCGCAGGTGCGTTGTGGTTGTCTTTCCTTTCTGGTTGTTGTCCATGTGCGTCGTTCGTGGCATGGTGTATTATGGTTGCGTACAAAGAAATACGTTCCTTGGCTTCTCTTTTTGTGTGCCTTCCGCTGTCCCGGGTTGTTTCTGAACTCGACTTGAAGTATTAACGTTTCCATTCCTCTCCCAGACAGCGCACAGTCTGCACGCAGCGAGTTTTCCCTCTGCCTTCGGACTACCGGACATGTGCGACATTTTGTCCTGTCCCGCGTCCATTTAAGAGGCTTCTTTTTTGCTAAAGACAGGTTTGGGGGCTTGATAACATCACCACTACATATCACTGCATGGGGTAGGATCCGATCATGTCTTGTAAATGCACGCCCTTCGGGTACAGATGCACACCGTGTACAACCAACCTGACAACTTTTGCCCAACAACTTGTTGGTATGTGTCAGGCGGAGGCTAAGACCCTCCGGGACCAGGCCGAGTCAGCTGCGGCGGTGTCAGGCCACGACCCCCAAGCAAACGGAGGCAGCGCCGGTGCTGATTCACCGAGTGAGGAGGCCGTGGCGGCGGCGCGAGCCGCTGCCGAGGAAGAGATAAAGTCTCTGAAGGGGGAGTTGCAGCGTGTGTCGGAGGCGTTGGAGGCATGTGAAGCGTCCAGGACTGAGACCGAGACTCTTCTCGCCGAAACCAAGCAGGTGTGTGCGTGTGCGCGCGGCGGACGGTTGTACACAGGTTGATGAGAGGAAGCCTTGAGTGCTTTGAAGTCAGTCGTACTTGGGGGGGAGGGAGGGCAGGATCCGTGTTTGTCTGCGGGACCCCTAGTGACACCACCCAGGGAAGCACACGCCAGTTTCTCCACAATATCTCGGTGATTCGAACCACCCATCTGGCGAGATTGTTGTAGCAGAAAGAATGTAGGCGGGGGGGTTAGGTCCCAAAGCTTCTACCTACCAACACGAGCGTGTAGACGCTATTCACATGCACGCCTGATAGTATTCCGAGGGCCCTTCGACCTTCTTTTCCTTCCGCACCCTGCGCGCCGGGATGCGGCACGCCCTCTTCCTGTCTGCGCTTCCTTGTGCGTCTCCTTTATACCTCCTTCCCTACTGGAAGCCACACTTGCTGAGTTGAATCTCATCATGGGTGTATGACAAGACCACTTCTCTGTGTGCGTATCCACGCGGCTAAATCTCATAATCGATACCGGGATCCAACTCACAGGCAGCGGAGGAGGCCACCGGGAGGGTGACGGCCGCGGCGGGGGGGCGGGACGACGCCTTGGCTCGTGCAGAAACCCTGCAGGCCTCCCTGGAGGCAGCGGCCGCCGCTGCGGCCGCCGCTGAGAGCGCGGCGCGACAAAAGGCGGAGGAAGAGCTGGAGGAGGTTCGAAGAGGTTCTGCCTCGGATTTGGAGCGGGAGCAGGTGCGGGGTGGGTGTTGTCGGCCTCTCTTCTGTGCGCGGCGATTGGACGGCGGTTGCAGTCTTGATCTGGACCGCTTTTTTGTGTGTAGCAGTCTAGCTCTGTATAGCTGGCCCATCTCTTGTCATTTGGATGACGTGGCTTTTTGCGCATAGTTTGGCTTGCCGGTGTTTGCAACCGGCCCGCCCGTGGTGCCTTGTTACATACAACTCGCAAGAATGCCTCACCTCTGTCCCTCGGGTTCGCCCCGCTGCTGCGCGAAATGACTAGTCTTCTCTGGCGTTCATACTGAGCATTCATGCTGCTGCCCTCCGCGTGCCCCCCCCCCTCTTCTCGTCCGTTCATGACCCGACGTACACCCACAACCAAGGCTGCCGTGAGGGCCCTCGAGGAGCGCCTCGCGCAGGCGCAACAGGCGGCGCAGTCCGCGGCCGAAGGCCTTCGGGCGGAGCTGGCCGACAGCGAGGCCGCTAGGGCGGAGGCCGGAACGGCCGCGGCGGATTCCCTCGCCAAAGCGGTGGCGGAGGCAACCGAAGCGGCGGAGAAGGAAGCCGCCGCTGATGCTAGCGATGCAGCGGCGGCGGCGGCGGCGGCGCAAGAGTCAGCGGCTGCGGCGGCAGCAGCACAAGAGTCGACGATAGAAGAGCTGCGGTCGAAGCTGGCCGAGAGCGAGGCCGCTAGAATGGAAGAGTCGGGGGACAAGTCGGAGGCGGCGGCGGCGGCGCTTTCGCAGGCGGAAGCTGGTAGGGCCGAAGCCGAGTCGGAGGCGGCGAGGCGGGAGGAAGCCCTTAGAGCGCAGGTGGCGGGCATGGAGGTGGAGGTTGCCAGTCTTCGGGAAGAGCTTCGCGTTGCAGAGGAGGAAAAAGAAGTCGCGGCAGCGGCGGCAGCGGCGGCAGCGGCGGTGGAGAAGGACACGGACGGGGCCGGGAGCTCGGCAGAAGGGTCGTGTGTGGCGAGCGGCGAACCGCCGGTAGCTGCAGTGGACAGCACCGACGGGGGTGCCGCAGAAGACGGTGCGGCGGCGGCGGCGGCGGCGGCGGACGCGAAGGAGGAGGTGGATGCCCTCGTCCGTCGCATCGCCGCCCTAGAGGAGGAGCTGGCAACGTCGAAGCTTGCTCTGCACCGGCAGGAGGAGCAGGCGGCGGCAGCGGCAGCGGCAGCGGCAGCGGTGGAGGCGGCGACGGCGGGTACGGAAGAGGAGATGGAGGCAATACGGGAACGTCTGCGGGTTGCGGAGCAGGAGACAGCGGACCTGTCAGCAGAGCTGTCGAGCGAAAAGGAAGCGGCAGCGGCGGCAGTGACGGCGGCGGCGGCGGCGGCGGGTACGGAGGAGGAAATGGAGGTACTACGGGAACGTCTGCGAGTTGCGGAGCAGGAGACAGCTGATCTGTCGGCAGAGCTGTCGAGCGAAAAGGAAACGGCAGTGACGGCAGCGGCGGCGGCAGCGGCGGCACTAGAAGCGACACAAGCGGCGAAGGACCAAGAGACCGCGGAAGAGGCGGCGACGGCAAGCGCGGCGGCGGCGGCATCGGAGGAGGCCCTCAACGCCGCCCGACGCGAGACCGAAAAGGCCTTGGAGGATTCCGACAAGCAGGCCGAGGAGCTCTCGTCGAGGCTGATGGGCGCCCTGGAGGAGCGGGAGGAGGGCCGACGGCGCGAAGCCGCCGTTGCGAAGGAAGCCGGACGGCTCCGGGAGGAGCTGGCGGGGGCCACGGGGGAGCTCGAGCGGGCGCGGGCCGAGGTGAAGGGCCGGGACGCCGCGGCGGACGAGAGCGCCAGCGTGTGGGCCAGCAGGGTTAAGGAGTTGGAGGAGAAGATGGAGGCGGCGGAGGCAGGAGCTGTCGAGGCCGTCAAGGCTCTAGAGGACGCGCTGACGCAGGTACGCACCATGAGAGGGAATTGTGGGTTGCAGCAGCAGCAACCATCGCGTTTTGCTTTGTTTTCTCTGGCCGCGGGTGGCAGCAGCGCCCCCTTCTGTCGTTCTGGCCAACAAGCCAGGTCGCCGTGTCGTCCACCCGGCCTCAAACCTGGCGGCTTCCGGTTCGCGCTGACACAGACAACGCTGTGTGTGTGTGTGTGTTTTGTTACAGCACCGACCGCTCTGACCGGCTGACCAATGAGAATACCTCAGTCTCAGTGAGGTTGAAAACGAAAAACGATCTACAGCGAAGGCCATGATCTGGAGGCCCGTCAGGGGGCATCATGGGGGAGGCTAAGGGTGTGTGTGTGTGTGTGTTCAGGCGTATGTTCAAGGGCATGAGTTGTTTCGTTTGCTCCCCGTCTGTGCCTTGGCGGTTCCATCCTCCCGCAGCGCTTTCGCGCCGCTCGCATGTTGCGTGCCTTTCCTGCCCGTCCCCCGCGTGTCTCATCCGCATCTATCACTTGTTGGTTGCGCGATCACAGCGGGAGCAGGAGGCGGAGCGGCTGACGGAGGAGGCGGCAGGGCTAAGGAAGGAGACGTCCCTCGTTAAGGCGGAGCTCGAGGCTAGGGGCGAGGCCTTGCGGCAGGTCAGAAACGCAGACTGCAAACACGCTATGCATAGAACCAGAACCCTTTTTATTCTAGGCCGTTGGTGGCGTCTCGTTTCCGTTCGTTCGTAGATATCTACGGCGGTGCCACGAGGTGTGTGTGCAGTACATTGCCTGGTGCACGCGAGCCTTCTTTTTTTTTTCGGAAGTCGTCACTACTGTATGTGCAGCTGCTGTGTGCGAAAAGGTGGCCATTGAACTGGAAGCCGGTCTCACGTGTTGGATGGCAACAAGTGTGTAGTATCAGAGGACAACTCTGTCTACCGTGTTCAGACCACGCTGGACCTGGCTTGTCTGCCTCTCTGACCTCCCGTTCGAACACCACCTCGTTAATTTCTATTTTTTCTTTCACCACTTGTGACCACGGAAGGCGTCGGTCAGTTGGACCGGTACGGGTATCAGGAGGTACTGAGTAGAGACCAAACGTTTTTTAGTTTGAAGACAACATCAGCAACAACTCTGTCTACTGTTTCCACAACACACTGGGCCTGGCTCGTCTGCCTTCCTGACCTTTCGTTCGAACAACGCCTCCTGGTATTTTTTTACACCCACCTTACGGTTTTTAATGCGAAGACAACAATAACAATAACAACAACAGCAACAACAACAACACTAACAATAACCCCATCTACTGTTTCCACAACACACTGGGCCTGGCTCGTCTGCTTCTTTGACATTCCGTTCGAACACCGCCTCCTTCTATTTTTTATGCCCACCGTTTCGGAACGGTTTTTAATTTGAAGACAACAACAACAACATCAACAACCTTATCTCTACCTTGCCTAGGCCAAGCTAGACCTGGCCTCCGTGTTGGAGGACTCCACCGCCACCGGCGCGAAGCTTTCGGAGGCGAGGTCGTCGCTGGAGAAGACACAGGCGGCCCTCGTGGAGGCCGAGGCGAGGCTGGAGAGCGAGAGCGCCGCTAACGCCGGGCTCAAGGCCGCGGTTATGGAGACGAACGAGGTACAGCAGTCGTGGTGGTCCTGATATATCGCTTTGTAGTGACTGACAAAAATCACCGCGTTATACATTGCAAAAAAGCATTGGGCGGCTTTTGTTTTCGGTCTTTATGTTTTTGGTGTTTGGGACGCAATATCGGGACCCGCGCTGTTGGGGGAAGGTCTCTGAAGACAAGTTTAGTACTTCGAGTAGGCCAGGTTTTTGCGCTAAGGGTTTTTTACCGCGACACGCCGGGAACTGCGCTATTCGGGACAGCTATTGCTGCACGTTTTTTTTTTCCGCCGGAGATGGGGAGCTGGCTCTCTCTTATTTTTTGCACCGTTTCATTTGGTTGAGTTTTTTGTTTTTTGCAGAACAGCACAGGATTTACCGTTGTGCGACAAATTTCTGTGATCGTTTTGGCGTGATGATGTGTGGGTTTTTTACCTTGCCGCGGAAAAAATGCAACCCTCGTGTCATTGTTGTGCTCGATAGTTTGCTGTAGATATCATTCATGTATCTAGGAGGCGAGCGCACTCTTCAGGGCTGGAGAAGGCTTCTTTTGGGACCGGCGTATGGAGAACTGGTTTTCTTGTCGCGGCTATGTCCCTTGCTGAATGAATCCTTTTTCGCAATTCTAGCCGTCAAGGCCACCTGCTGCGCGGGGAAAGCAACCTAGGCTGAGAAGTCATCACCCCACAGACAGCTTTTTTTGTTTGAAAGTCCAGGTTTTTTTTGTTTTCGGTTGCTGCTGCTTTTCTTTGTTTTTCCTGCCGCCCGAGGCACCAGCCGTCACGAAGTAGGTCGACGAGACGTAAATATCGTTGGTATGAAGAGTAGAGCGAGGCGTCGGCGGAGTGTTTATTTTTTGTTGTTGAATGCCGCGGATCCCCCTATACACTGATTGGTCTGGGTACATACCCTCATCCCCGCCCACTGTTCAATCGCTTGTCGATGAGGAGATGTTACTGCCCTTTGCTGCTGCTGAAGCCCAAGCTTGGTGTTTTCTCACCGCCATCAATGCCGGAATGGTAAAGAGGAACGTGACTGACCTTTCTCTCTTTCTCTCTCTCTCTCTCTCTCTCTCTCTCTCTCTCTCTCTCTCTCGCTCGCTCTCCCCCGTATCGGTTTGCCGCCCGTCCCCAACAGACCGTGTCGAAGCGAGTGGACGTCCTCCGAGACGCTATCGAGAAGGTGGAAGCGGAGCGAGACGCCGCCGCCGCAGACGTAGCCTCGAGCAAGACTCAGCTCCAAGCCCTTCAGGCCCAGGTACAGACGGAGAATATCCTCGTGGTGAAACGCCAATACATATTGGGTGTAAGGCTCATGTGATGCTGCCTCAACAGGCTCCACCTGAACACAACAGTAGCAACCAGCAGCAGCGTTTCTGTCGGCCGGACGCGAAACATTTGTTAGCAGTTGACAACGGAGATCACGCGTGCTTTTACAAGCTCATCAATATGTCTACCTTTGGGTTGGAGCGTTACGGCATGCCTTCCGCCATGGTGACACATGATACTTTTTTTGTTTCTTCTTATTTTGGTCGGTGGTCGCGGTGGCGAGACAGGTGGCGTCCCTGCTGAAAGAGAACGCTGGTGCGAAGACGGAGGCCGGGCTGAGGGTGGGCGACCTGCAGCAGCGGTTAACGGCGGCCCAGGACGAGCTTGGTCGAGAAAGAGAGGCGATCGCCGAAAGAAAGGTGCTTGGTGCTGCTGGATGGCGCGGCCCGTTTCAGCCGGGCAGGTTTAGTTTGGCTGCTGCTGCTGCTGCTGCTGCTGCTGCTGCTGCTGTTGTTGTTGTTGTTGCTCCAGTTGTCGTTTCTGCTGCTGCTGCCGCTGGCGGCAGATGTTATTGTTGCTGCGGGTGGTGTTCATTTTGTTGTTGCTGCTGCTACTGCTGCCCGCTGCTGATGTTACTGTTACTGCGGTTGGTGTTGATGTTGTTGCTGTTGTTGTTGTTGCTGCTGCTGCTGCTGCTGCTGCTGCCGCTGTTGTAGTGGCCCACTCCCGCGGTCATCGGGTGTGTTGCTGGTGCGAGCGCTTGTATCGTTGTGTATGCTCCAAGTTCAGCTCATTGTTGTGGTTATTCGTTTGTTGAGGTTGGAGTGTTCGACTTTTCTCGCCATCACCCGGCGCGCTACCGTCATGTCGCATGTACAAGCTCGTGGATCCCGCTCGCTCTCGCTCTTGTCCCGCTGGACTTTCTTGCCTTACTCTTCCGTCCCCTCCCACGCCTTCCCGCACCCCTTGTACCGGGCTTCCAGAAAGAGATGCAGGCGTACGCAGAGGCGATGGGAAGGGAGGGAGAAACTCTCCGCGCTGCCACTAAGGAGGCGCAGGTAATCGGCTCCTTCGTGGCTTGATTTTGTGTTTCTGCGCCTGTGCTGGGGCTGGGAGACAGTCGCCGTTTGCGTTTGATGACAGCATGTGTCTTCCGCGCCCCCAAGACCTTGTTCTGATGGCGATTCTGTTGCAATTTTTTTTCGTCCGTTGATTGATTTGATGTAGGTGATTTGTGTGTGCTGTTGACTATTAATAGTGGTCTGTGCATGCCGTCCTTTGTACTCGCGTCGATCTCGCTCGTCGTTTGTCTCACCGACGGAAGTCCAAAGGCCAGCGTTAGGAGAACCGGTCGAGTCGTTGTGCGTGTGTTTCTTTGTTTCGCATCGACCGCGCTAACTGCCCGACCATATTCTCGTCTGTGCGTGTGTTTTTCGCAGGCCATCGCGGCAAGGGCTACGGCGGCCGAAAGCGAGAGCAAGTCCTGCGTGGCGCTCGTGAGGCGGGACGGGGAGGCGGCCGCGTCCAGCCTGAGGCAGGCGCTGGAGAAGCAGGCGGCAGAGGCCAGCCGCACCGTGGCAGCACTCGAGGAGCGGGTAAGGCTGATGGCCATGGTCTACAAACGATGACAGACACTGCCTACTATACTAGTGGTCGGAATCCGTTCCTGTGTTTTTCTCGTGACTTGTGTTTGGGGCGTTTTTTTTTTTTGTTGGTCTTGGGTGGTGTGTGTGTTCGCGATTTCCAGTATTTTGTAATGGTTGGGGAAGGAGTCAATTGGAGGGTAATCGTGTCTTCATCCTCACTTTCATTTCGTGTCAGGCGTGGGTGGGAAATGCCCTCCACCCCCCTATCATAGTCGACATGCCTCTCTGCTCTGCCAACGCCTTGACCCATGTGACCCATCCGGCGCGTATCGGCTCACGAGTGCCCCGTCGACAATATTGTTTCTGCAGCACGTCAGCTACGTGAACGTATCGCCTGCTTACCTTCCATTGTTTTGTCGCTACCTGCTTCACCCCCCCCCCCCCCCAA